CATTGTTGAACACAATGTCTTTAAAGATATCTTGTTGAACTTTATTTTTTTAGAGATTAAATGTCTCTAAGGGGAAATCTTGGAGTACTAAGTGCCATATGTTACCATTTTAAGTTTCAATGGAGTATTAGAAAAAGAAAACGTCATTATCTAATACCTATGAGCTAGCTAGCATGTAAGGGTAGATTTGAGTCAATTTGTCGTTGGTCAAATAACGTACATTATGTAAATTTGAGTCATTTGGCCTAGTCTTGGGATATATAGAACATGTTATATGATTACCAAACCCTTCTACCTACATGGTTCACTGATTGTTAGGGACAAAAGGTACCTTCCATTAATACCATTAATTTAAGAGATCAAAAAATGTCAATGGACAATTCACCATAAAGACCACTAAAAGGTAGAAGTAATTTCATATAAATTAATTTACCACTACATAAAATTGATTTTTCAAGATTTGCTGCAGAAAGAATAAGTTGTATTTAATATTCTTAAAAGCCAATTCTGCTTCTTGATGTACATATATTGGGTCAAATTATATATTTATAATATGCACAAGGTCTCAATGTAATTGCATTCACATGCATGGTTCTTTTTTTAACTTCAGCCATAAAGCTAAAGATAAACATTTACAATGGTAAAAAGATTCTTAAAATCGAAGTCACCAATCTCATTAAATATTAAACTTTTTTTAATATATACACGCTTTATTAATTTATTTAGTCTCTTATTATCGGTCCTAAGTGCTAAGTAATGAATTTATGAAAACCCACAAATTGAACGACAACGATCATATCCATTAATGAAGAGACAAATACTTATATTTTTATTTGTTTTTAATGGTAAAAATGTAATTTTATCATAATTAGAATGATAATTATGCCATTAATTGAGATGATCTTAACTCAAACTTAACATATACTTGTAAGGAGCAAGACTCTTCTCCATTAATGAAGAAGGAATAACCCAAAAAACAAAAAAAAAGTAGAAGATGCAATGTCATTTTTGTCCTTTTTATTTTTGATGAAATTAGACTTCTACCCTCAAAAGTAACATAAAAAGAAAAGGAACTTATCTCTTCAATATTGAAGATGATATTTTTCCACTTGTAAGGTTCCTTCATACATGAATGTGCACGTGCTTCTCGTGTTATTGGGTCACTTATTATTGCTTAAATGATTAACAAGTACATAAATTAACGTGCTACATGGCATCTCTATTTTTTCTCCATTTTAAAATATTGAAGTAAGCTTGAGATTCTTGATGTTTTTTCTCTGAAAAAATGTTGATTTTTTTGAAAGCCAATACAATGGATTTACATTTATAGATATAAAGGTGATTTAACATATTTGTTACAGTTAGCATATGTTCGTAAGTGAAAAAAAATGGGTAAATAGATATTATAATTAATATGTGGGGGGAATATGCTAATTATTAGAATGTGGAATTAGCTAAAAACTTATACTTAATGATTGATGATTTAAAAATTAAAAAAGAATCCCCTTTTAATATATGGAGTAGCTAGCTATAATGTTCGGATGTGTAATTTTTCAAAATCACTTGACAATGGGAATACAAATTACTATAGAATACTTATATTTTTCATCCTTATTTGTGATTTTTGTTAGTGATAACAAGTACATTTCATTAATATAGAAATGTTGTGAAATTTGAGTTGATCATCAAACCAGAAGATGTCTTATATTAAGTGTAACTGGTTTAAACGGTTAAACCGTCCATTTAAACCAAATGATTTTCTATATAATTAAAATTTATCTATAATATATAATTACATATAACTACAAAAAATCATATAATTAATAATTATGTGTAAATATCTACATCTTTTTTGAACCGAAGTAAAATAAAATATTAGAGTAGTATTATGTTTTTTAAATTATATAAACTGTTTGATTTACTTTCCAAGTTATTCTAGTTTAACCAATTTTAATACGGTCAAACCAAAATTTTCCCAATTCAGAGCCGTCTAAAATATCATTATGTTAAGATTACAAACGAGAATCATTTTCAAATCTGATCAACGATCGGACCGTCCAATCTGATTCTCATAACATTAATATATACAATGCATAACATTAATATATACAATAGAATAAAATAATGCTCAAAAGCAGAAAAGTAAAAGTAGTGATTGACTACTCTTGTCTTTATATCTGTTGATCTGAATTATCTTCAGTACTGGACTGTCTAGTATTGGATTATGAAGTCCATAAAATTCTAAATATTAAAAAATAAACTTTAATTAAAAATGAATGAAAGTATGTACCGTTAATCTTTTGTAAGTGACATGTGTCACAATATCTGATGGTAATGGACTCTCTAATATAATGGAAGATATTAATTCCTCTCTCTACATGGCAACCAAGCAAGGCCATGCAATATGTATAGCCATTGTGGTAGCCTCCCACAAAATAGCAGTTGCTAGAGAGAGAAAGATACTTGAAAAAATTAAAATTATTGAGGCTGCCATGGTCCTACATACTTTTTTCATATCTTTACATGGATATCAAAAAATATTATCTAAAAATAAAAAAAAAACAACTATGTTTTGGAAGGGGAAAGAAGAGAATGAAGGAAAAATGTTTTGGAGGTTTTCTTGAGTTCTCTAAAATTATTCATACGCTTATTTTCATGGTTTCTTCCATTTGAGTTTTTAAAGACAAATATGTTAAAGTATTTAAACATCTTTAGTGAAATTTATAATTAATTTTTTTCCTATTTCTCATTGTTAATTAGTTTTTAGCTTCATTTTTATCTCATCTGAATTTTATATTTCCAAACAATATATATATATATATATATATATATATATATATATATATATCATTTCTCCTCCACCTTCACCCCCCTTAATCTCTCTAATTGCATTTTTCTCCTAACTCCCAAACACAATATAACAAATTATTCTCATTATAGAAAATAACATGTTTAAATTTCAACCCACATGAAATTAATCTGTATTATTAATTCTATATCACATGTAATATTAGAACTTTGAGGCTATATTTATATTCAGAAGGTATAAAAATACTATTACGAGGAGAGAAATGACAAATTACAGAAAAACCTGAGAATATAATAAAGAGTTCAAGACTTTGTATTTTCCATTTTATCCGGAAAATTACACACAAGGGATAAATAATAAAATAACACGGTTGGCATCTTCTATATAAAGAAAACGCGGCATTATCAACATTAAGCCCACTTTGATCGCATTACTCCAAAAATAATCAATAACTTATTTAAATATGGTAAAAATTGTCCTTCACCACAAATTTACACTAGTGAAATACTACTTTCATTTTCAATTGATTTTGAGACAGAATCTTAACACATTAGTTGATAAAATTGCATATAGAAAACTAAAATGAAAATGTCATAGTTGTTTAAACATGAATCTGGATCATCTCGAGTACTGGAAAGTCCAATATTAGATAAAATGATAAAATGTGTCATTTAATATTTTTTAATGGTTTAAATTTTAACTTAGTTTTAATTAAAATTTTCAATTTTTTAATGGTTTAGGACCTCAACTCTTTAAAACCTAACCCTTTATTTTCAGACTTTCCAGGAAGGTGAATTAGAATCAAAACAAAAATATACACACCAAGCAACATGAATAGTTGGTGTTAAATGGGTAAAGATGAAACTATATAAAGGGTTGCATTATCTTCTATAAGGCAATACCAAAACCCAAATAAGAGAAGTTGGGAAAATATGGGGTCTCTAGTGGCCTCCGTTACTCTCACTCTTGTATTCCTAATAGTCTCTCTAAGCTTACCATCTCAAATATCAGCCAACGGCTACATCTATTCCTCTCCACCTCCACCATACTACTACCACTCACCACCACCACCACCACCACTGCATTCTCCTCCTCCTCCATACAAATACTCATCCCCACCACCACCAGTTTATAAGTACAAGTCACCTCCTCCTCCCTACAAGTACTCCTCACCACCACCCCCACCCTACAAGTATTTATCTCCACCTCCACCTGTGCATTCACCTCCACCACCATATTACTATCACTCTCCACCACCACCAAAACACTCTCTTCCTCCTCCCTACAAGTATTCATCACCCCCACCACCACATAAGAAACCATACAAATATTCATCTCCACCACCACCTGTTTACAAGTACAAGTCACCTCCTCCACCTGTCCATTCACCACCTCCTCCATACAAATACTCATCACCTCCTCCACCACCTTACAAGTACCCATCTCCACCACCACCTGTTTATAAGTACAAGTCTCCTCCACCTCCTGTTTACAAGTATAAGTCACCTCCTCCCCCAGTCCATTCACCTCCTCCTCCATACAAGTATTCATCACCACCACCTCCACCAAAGAAGTCATACAAGTACTCATCTCCCCCACCGCCGGTGTATAAATACAAATCTCCTCCACCACCACCAAAGAAGCCCTATAAGTACCCATCTCCTCCACCTCCTGTTTACAAATATAAGTCTCCTCCTCCTCCTGTCCATTCACCTCATCCTCCATACAAGTATTCATCTCCACCACCACCACCATACAAGTATAAGTCTCCACCACCACCACCTTACAAGTACTCATCTCCTCCTCCACCACCCTACAAGTACTCATCTCCTCCACCACCACCCTACAAGTACTCATCACCACCACCACCACCCTACAAGTACTCATCACCACCACCACCACCCTACAAGTATTCATCTCCTCCACCACCACCATACAAGTATAAGTCTCCTCCACCACCACCAAAGAAGCCTTACAAGTACCCATCTCCACCACCACCAGTTTATAAGTATAATTCTCCTCCTCCTCCTGTCCATTCACCTCCTCCACCCTACAAGTACTCATCTCCACCACCACCACCCTACAAGTATTCATCTCCACCACCACCACCCTACAAGTACTCATCTCCTCCACCACCAGTTTATAAGTATAAGTCTCCTCCTCCTCCGGTTCACTCACCACCACCACTACATTACATCTATGCATCACCTCCTCCACCTCACTACTAGACAGTTTAGCTGAGCAACCATGTTGGTAAGATTCTTCATACAATCTACGTTATCGAAAAAGTAATGAGATTTTATACATAGTTACATGCATATTAAACCAAACTTATACTCTGTCTAATACTTATCCTTAGTCCTTACATAGAAATATAATCATCGAAATTCCACAGATATCTCTCAGAGCACGCTGTTTGGGATGAGAAAACCTACATTAATTTTTTTCCTTCACGCTTCTGAAATTATTTCCATACTCAAATTTTTAAATTTTAGAACGTTTTTTATATTTGAGGGACTCATATTGATACAGTTTTATTATAGTAATTACAAAGTTGTAATACATTTTCAGTTTTCTGTTCCTTTGCATGAAATTTTGAGAAGAATATATATATATATATATATATATATCCACTCATTGCATGAATTTTTTGTTTAATTTTAATAAAATAATTTTATTTTTACAATGATGCATTGCAACTTTATGATGCGTGCATGGATAAAAAAAATAAAAAATTAGAAAGATAAAAATATCTTAAATTGTTGTAAGAGAAATTGTAGAAATTGAGATATACAAATGATTTAAGAAATGTAGGATAAGATTCTTTTTATTATAATAAAATAAACATTTTTCAATATAACTTCGTATTATTTACAACGAAATAAAAATACAAGTATAATATGTATGCAATGTCATTATAAATATGTATACACAATCGATACATCATTCATTTGTATGATGTAAATAATATAATGACAGTGTATAAAATTGATACACTATCAGTAAATATTTTTTTTCCTCTAAACATATATACAAATAAGAGGCACTTTAGTTTGTGCATAACAACGGATGATGGTTGATTTGCGTGTTACATTTATCCTTTCCTAATCTAATTAGCTTTGCAATACAAGCTTACCCCTTATATTTTAACTGTAAATCTTAAGATACTAACTAGCTAAGAAGAGATTCAAACTTTTTTATGCATGTTTCCAAAAATATGTTAGCGTCACGTTTTCAAGGGTTTAATCATATATATCCTAATAATAACACTTAGATAGAATTAATATTTATTATCTGATTTATTGATATGTTGAGGAAGTAACTAATAATGGAGTGATTGAGTAGTACTAAACTCACATGTTTGTATTTTTGTAGTATTTGAGGAATATGTTGAAATAAAGAAAGTGATGGATATGTAGCATAAAGAAGCACTTCGCAACAACACAAGAAGAAGCCGGCAACAAAGTTTCCGCGTTTTGTCCTTTAAATTAAAAAGAAGTGTCACATAACTTTCTATATAAGTATAGATTTCAATTTCCTTTGTTTGTTTTGTTCATGATTAAGATTGTGTATTTGTATTTCAAACAGTTGTGAGGCACTACGTTGCTCTATTGTCATTGATTAATACATGCATTATGCTTCACAACCTAATGCGTTTGGAAAGGGTTGGAAAGCCATTCATATAATAAATAAATATTAATATTTTGTCTCTCACTTTTTTTTATATTTATTTATCTGTATTATTTTGAATTGGTCCACGTTTAAAATTGTTCCATTAAAAGTATGTGGGCACGAAGAATAGAATAATAATAAATGAGAAAATGGAGGAATCAAATGGAAATGCCAAAGTAGACAAATTTGTCCGTACTTTATGTATAAGGGATATTTTAGGAAAATTTATATATGTGGACTTTTTTATTGTATGTTTTGTGGAATTTACGGGAGTGGTGTATTTTCCCTGAAATATGGATAATATCAACGGATTACGTTTCTCTCTCCTTGGGTCTGCAATTCACGAATCATTATGTATGTGGACCAAATCCACAATTTCCATTTCAGGAAATTGCAAAACTGTTTATGAAACACGATTGCCTTTTATTTTATTTTTTAATTTTTTCAATTTGTTTTCTTTTGTTTTTTTTCCACACGTTTGCCTTTTTTTTTAATTTTTTAATTTTTTCAATTTTTTTCTTTTGTTTTTTCCATATGTTTGCCTTTTTTTTTCAATTTATTTTAATTGTTTAGTTGTTTTTATTTATTTTTGGTATGTATTTTTATTTCACTAATAATAATTAAAAAAAATCATTAGATAATTAATAAGTATATAAAAAGAAAATTATTTAAATAAGAATGAAATTAAAAAACAATTATATTAAAAATATTTAAATATAATCCCTAATATCAATGACGTCTATGATGTGATAAGTACCACACGGGGTTGGTCTTCTCCTGCGTGGTGGAAGAACTCTTAATTGTTGTTAAGGAATTTGTGTAGTTCTTTAACAATGGCCTTTATTGGAATACCAGGACCTTCAGATACCAAATTAATAATACAATTTGAAATGAAAGCTGAGTTTAGTTTGATGTGGTCTTGGGAAACAACAGTAGATAAACAAGTATGTGTTCCATTAATTTTCCTAATTTCCCAAACACCACGTTTTACATTAAAAGAAGCACGAATACGTCACTCACAACCTGCACCATAATGTGTACAACGACAAACATATCTATCTGGCATTGACTCTAGAACAATATAGTCAAATGAGTTACGAATATGAAATTGTTTAATGACATCTAATGTTGATTCTTTAGACTCAAATTGCATCCAAACAAATAAATCATTGTCATTTCTTAAAGTAGTTAATCCTGGACGATAGTCACAACGAGCCTCAGAATTACTATACGTGAAAAAACCTAATGGATTAGCATATGTTATGTTACCATGTAGTTCGCTGCTACCAATCTCAACATCATCATCCTCTTCGTCATCATCAATTAACTCAATATCATCTTCATAACTAAAATCACTAACAATATCTCTAATGATATCCATCTACAACAACCATAACAATGTTAATATTGATAAAATTCATATTATAATTTAAAAGTGATTTTGTGTTGATAATATACAAGTTATTTGCTATTATGTTAGCTTAAAATGTTACAATGTTAATAATAATGATAATATGTTAATATTGTTACCTTAAGAATTTTGAAGGAGGCTTCAATAGAGTAAATAAAAGCCACAAGTTTTGTGGAATGAGTGTATGAGTGTAGTGTAAAGCTGTGTGAGTGTACTTTGTCGGAGTGAGTGTAATTTGTCATTGGGATGCACATAAATACATAGTGAATACAAAATGTGGATATAAATCACGTTTTAAACATATTAGTGGACCATATCCACGTTTTGCACATATTAAAGCATATTAGTGACCATATCCACGTTTTACACATATTAAAACATATTAGTTGATCACATCCACGTTTTGAGTGGAAATAGTGGACCCAAACCACGTTTTGCACATATTAAAAGCATATTAGTTGACCCCATCCACGGTTTTTGAAAAAAGTACACCACCCGGTAAATTCTACAAAAGTTGCACTACTGAGGTAATTAAAAAGTCAAAGCATACCATGGAAGTAAATTTTCCGATATTTTAGTATCATAAAAGTAAACATTAAAAGATAATTATTATTAATCACTTATAATTTCTCGGTGGAAATGAGGATTATAATATTAGATTATGTATTTAATAAAAGTAAGACTGGTATACCAAATTTATTTTATTCTTAGTACTTGAATATTAATATGATAATGATATTGTAGTAAGTTACTACGGTAATGTTCTTAAACCAACCATACCCACCACAATTAACATATAGCTGAAATTTTCAAGCAAGATGTCAAGAGTTGAAGAGAAGTTTTAAGAAAAAATGTAGCTTCGGAGATGGGAATCAGACAAAACGAAACATCAAAATCATATAGAATTAAAACATACCATATAATCTGTTTTTAGTAGCTATTAATTAAATAGAAGGCTTATATGTCTTGTTTAGAGTTTGGCATTTAATGAATAGTAAAGAATATTACTTTTTTTGTTGTTGCAAGAAATGCAAGTTGTATTGGTAATAAATCTCAGTTACACATCAAACTAGGAGTGAAACATCATTTTAAGGGAATCATCCAACTGAAGAAAAGGTGATGATGATCCTTGTCATCGTTTGGACTTTCTGTCCAGCCATGTTATCAAGCTTTGCTTGGGTATATTCCCTAGACTGGTTCAACCCAATGTACTTTTGCTCTATTCCCTTTCAAATATTTATAGGCTGTCATAATAGAATAATACCCATTTTTATTTGTAATTTATATTTTTTAATAATATATAGGTAGTCATTTGATGTTTTTAGAGACGTATACATAATTGGCCAAAACTCCAATAACAAATTCTCTTGTCTTCTGTGTATTACACTCCCTTTATTTGATTGCTTATGTCCAATGATGTTTAACAATTGTTTTCGTTGCACCAACGCATTAGAGCCAACTGGTAGATCACTTTTAATTCAGGCACCAAATTCATGGCGGACAAGTTTGATAGTACTCGTAACAATGGATTGCGGCAAAGGAATGTGAAAGACATGTTGGATAGACAAAGGCATTGCACTGGGATTAGATGAGTTAAAGGAGAAGGAAAGATAGTGTGATCATGGTGGGGATCATGGTCGCGTTGGATCCAAAACCTTAGAAGTCCATGTATTGGATTGAGACCCAAGTGAAGATTGAGATCCAAGTGGAGCATCATGTTTTGATACGAGAGTATGTAATATCTCTAATGGTAGTTCTTTGAACTATAATTGTCGGCATAGACAATGATGATAGCCGTGAGACTTTGAAATGATGCTTCACTCTTCAGTTGGGCTAAGTATTGAAGAAAAAAGTTATTGGTGAATTTTGGTGTAGAACTTAAATGATATTAAAAGGAGTGTTGTGATAACCGGACCGGACGATCCGACCGGTTCGATCGTTGATCGGACTTGAAAACAACTTTGTTTTATAGTATTAATCGAATAAGTAGTTGGACCGCTTTGAACCAGAGAAATTTCGGTTCCAACGTGCTAAACCCGGTTAAACCGGAATAACCCATGAAAAAACCCGGACGACTCACTTAAAATTTTAAGAAAATGGAACATTACTCTAAAGATTTGTTTTATTTCGGTTCAAAAAAGATAGAGAAATTTACTTATATAAAATTATTAATTATATAAAATTTACATTCATATATAATTATATATTTATATATAAAAATTATTAATTATATTTAAAATCATCTGGTCTGACCGGACGACTTAACTGGTTAAACTGGTTAGACCTAATACGAAAGCTCTTCCGGCTTGACGTCCGACTCGGGTTTCACAACATTGATTAAAAGACTTCATAGCAATGGCTTAGTAACATCGTTAAGTATGCTTAGTATAATATGCATTAATTAGAAACACCACACGACATTGTGCCTATGAGTATAATACTAAATTTTATTAATAGTCGCTCAATGCTTCTAAGGATATTATACTCTCAGGAAATGATAAATTAAATTAGTGTGGATTAATATGTAAGATCATGTGGTTTTATGAAATACTTAAGTAAGATTTTTCTTTAGGTGTCTTTTGTTTGATAAATAAGTTAAGGGGAGGGAGGGATCCACTTACTCCAAGAGTAAGTGAAAAATGACTTACTTCACATCTCAACCATCCAATCTTAGAAAATCCAATGGTTTGAATTGGTAAGTACATCTAAACCATTAGATTTTCCAAGATTGGATGGTTGAGATGTGGAGTAAGTCATTTTCCACTTACTCTTGGAGTAAGTGGATCCCTCCTCATAAGTTAATATCCAATGACGCATTGGTTTATTGGTGTAACACCATATTGAATTTTTATATATCTTCCTAAGCCAAATGTCACTTGTTGGAAGGGATATTCATATCCATACATCCTAATAAAGATTAATTTTTTACCCATATATAAAGTGATACTCTTGGTTATATAAAAATAAAATAATATATTAATAGTTAATCTTAAATTAAAAAAGGTATTCAGGGAATGAATATAATAGTATAAAGTTTTTTCTTGGAATAATCTTTCATTCCCCACTATTCAAATTGACCAAACCACCACCAACCATAACATTCCCCACCGGTCCTGTATGATGGTAAAAGTGATATATTCTGAGAGTAAATTGTTCTCCATCTTGTGCAGTGTAAATAGTTTACACACAAGTTAAAAGCGAGATGCTACTTATGAAGAGGGCCTAACCGTACCGCTCCATGATTTGCATGGGGTATCCAGAAAATTAATTGTTGTATATAGAAATAGGGACAGAAATATATTGTCAAAATCAATCATGATTATAATACTCGTTATTAACGTACCTTCACACTTACCAGTAGCAATCAAAGTTGTTGAAAAAAACGTCCAAATTAGTTACTTGATCTGGGGGACACTTCTGCATGAATTTTCGTTGTCAATGCTATCATTAAAATGGTGTTCAGAGTATGGAAAGGTGGCATTATTTTTCTACTCAACATTCAACAACAATTAGTTCTACCAAGTGAGGCCGACTATTTGAATCAACAATCAAAATGTTCAGTTTCACATGTGATTTTTCTTGGCTTCATTGTCTTTAGAGATTGAAATAACTTCCATTTTATCTACTATAC